GAACATCCCATAACTCTCCCTAAAAACGTTTACGACCAATGAGAACCCATTAAAACTCTCCGACAGTGTAATATTAAAGCGCGTGGCAACTGAAATAAATTGCTACGACACTTGTTTCTGCGGACTTACAACGCTAGGATCCGGGTTTCGATACCCGTGGTGGGCAGAGCACAGATAGCCCATTGTGTAGCTTTGTGCTTAATTACAAACAAACAAACAAACGACACTTGTTACTGTTTATGCATGGCGTAAAGTAGCATTAAATTACTAAGAGTACAAACAAAAAAGTAATGTTTATGAATGTACGAAATAATGAATAATAAATTAAATGAATACCCGAATCGTATAATATGTAACTAGAATATCGGTCCTGAGTTAAAATATAACAATGTTAAATGCAGTAAAAATATTACAATGTGTTCAACACACCTCATGGTGTGTCTAACACAATAATCTCACTTTAACTAGCCTTTCACTTAACAGAACACACAGGGCAGGAAAAAGGAAGTAATAAATAAAGGTATATTTTCTCTAAAAACCGAAAGTAAACTAGATAAGACTTTAGAAAATTCAATAATGATAATAAGCATTAGAAGAGAAAATCAAAACAATCGTAACTATGACAAAATAATTAACATAAACTAATGTAACTTAACTAATGACGTAATGTCACGTCATAAGCGGATCTGTTATATAGCTAGTATTAACTATTTAAATAACAATTTCTTAAACTAACGGTGGAGTTAAATTATGATCACTAGATTAAAGCAGTTCGCTATTGTCTTAAACAATTTCCAAAGGAATTAAAGTATAAACGTTAAAGTTTTGATAAAAGATAATAATATTATATTCCCATAATTTATAGCAATACTTTTTTAAAAAAAGTGATAAGAGAAACTTGGTTTGTGAGAATTTGCGAGTAAGTTTACGAGAAGTCTTGTAACGTTGAACAAATTATTTCATATCTAATAAGCTGTGTGTTGTAAACGTTGTAACATACTTTATTTGTATTATTTGTATTTGAATGTTACATCTGAAGCAGTGTGTTGAAGAAAGGTAAGGTTCTGCATGTTGGAAAGCGGGATTTTTACTTCTTCGATGTTTTGTTATTGTTTAATAACATGGATAGTCAAGCCTCCTAACAAAACTTTCATGTTCCTATTGTACATGTAGATACTGAATATTTTTCGGGGTTCAAGCCCGTATTCAAGTTAGTAGACAGTATATTCATAAGACCTAACTGAGATAAATTAATAATTCTATTATTTGATGAATTTGTCAACGACAAAGCAGAAGTAGAAGGCTTATCACGTATTTTGAAACGTACAATTTTCTTGTTTTATCGTTGGGTTTTGGGAGGTATGGAGCATTAGAAGGCCTTTAAACTTTTTACTGAAGTGTGTTGAATACTTCAGGAGAAAACGGACAAAGTTGATTCAGTAAAGCCATAATATACGTATTAAAATTTATAGAACGTATCTGATATTGATAAAATCACCTAAAAGTTTTTCTGCATCATATTTACAGACAGTTTACATTTCTTGTTGGGGAAAGAAAGACGAATGTGAAAAACATATAAAATTATGCCATAAATTTTGCATAGCCGTAAAAACTGCAAATCACATGTATGGCTCATAGAAGTTTTGAGCTGTTGTGTTGAAAGTTTCGAAAATTACTTAATGAAGATTACTACAGGTATCTCTGAATTTGAAAGTAAGAGACATTCATATTCACAACGAAAAGAAAATACTTGGGTGCAATTACCAAGTTTTTAGTCTGGACTGTCCTTATTTTTACACAGGGGAAACCGGTCGCGAATTAGGGCTGCGACTATAAAACATTCCCAGTAACCTTGATTTGTATTTGAACGTTAAGTTGAGACACATAAAATAGACTTTTCTAATACTAAAGTCACGTTTAGTGAATTAAGAGGAACCCATCGAAAAAAAGTAAAATAAATATTGATGATTTCGTAAAGTTTCCTACTATTCGACATCCTTTACTGACGTCACTCAAACGTCTCATGGCTTTTACTTGTATTCATAACGTATTTTGTTCCTAATCGTTGGCGTCAATGTAAGAAAAATGTTGAACTTTTATAACTTCTTTTAGTGCTTGTTTTTCAATACGTGATCTTACTAAATCATTTTAACCCGCATCTAGTGATATTACAGTACACTAACTACTAAGTGTAACAGAGTTAGAATGAGCACATGTAAATACATTTTTACAGAGTGATACTTCTTTCAACTTCCAAATAGCAGTATATAATTTCAATAGGTTATCTTGTGGTCCACTGTAAAAAAGGAAATTTGGTTGTACATCCATATAGAAGTATTTCCTGGCTAAGTAGAAAATTTAATATAAATTTTCATCCTAAACTTTCTTTATAGTACAATGACTATTTGTGTCAAAACTGTCACAAAGATACACACACTTTTATAAGCAAACACAGCCGAACTGGTGGGAAATAACAATATTTCCTGGAAAGAGAAAAAGTCGTTATTATTTTTATTAAACACAAGCAACACATGTCCAAATATTTCCAGTTTGCATTGCGATTTTCAAAACAGATAAATAAGTGTTTAAGTAATGTAAATGAAAAATATAAGAAAATAAAACAACGGAAAACTCACTGACATCATGATAACTTGCATTATAATTGGCTCGACTCTTTTGGAGTAATTTTTCAAAACTATTTGTGCTTTATAGAAGTTGAAAAGTTCATAAAAAAAGTAAAGCAGCAATGGAAATAATTAATCCCTTAAAAATAACATCAGTAAATTGATGGAGGATTAGTTGATTATTAAAATGTAAAGCTCTATCGACGTTTGCTCCCCAGTGGCACAGCGGTATGTCTGCGGACTTACAACGCTAGCAACCGGGTTTCGATACCCGTGGTGGGCAGAGCACAGATAGCCCATTGTGTAACTTTGTGCTTAACTTCAAACAACCAACCAAACTATCGACTTTTACCACAAAAGAAGAGAAAAACTTACAGTATTTTCTGCGAACCTCTGGCTCTTCACTTATTTTAGACTACCTTTCGGACTTTTTTCAGGAAAAACTGAAGAAAAAGTCAACAGGAGTCTGAAATGTCATTTGTAAAACAAAAGAAGACACAATAAAATTGGATTAAAGTGCGTTTGTTTATCAATGTGATGCAGTAACTTTTGTATATTATGACATTCAAATTTTTTCCGGCCAAATCATTGATAAATTATATAACTGAAAAAAGATATATATATATATATCGTTGCGTTTCTGGTCGTTAGTTAATTTTCCGTAAAAATTATTTCCGAAGAAACTTTAGCGATACAAGTCCTTTCTTAAATAAAACTGGTTTATTCTTTCTGAATACAACTTTGCAATACACTTAATTTCCACAGTCGCGCTATGACAAACGCTATAATTCACAACGAGCGTCTCACGTGCTCGACTCAACTGTTCGTATCTATCTCTGTCTGCAGTTAAATTACACATTACATTACATTGTTGCCGTCACTTCTTACCGGTCTTCTATATACAAGAATACCGCATATCTAGTAACTTCTCGAGACTTCAGGAAGGGACGTGAACGTTCGAGAATATGACGTGTTACTAGGGTCACGTGACCCCCGCTGTCGTAACAATATATTTCGATCAACTTGCACAGTGGCTATTATATATTTCGATCAACTTGTGGCTATTACTATATTCTGAAATAAATGTTTTGTGTTCGATATATTATACGACAACTACCAGACGTAAAGACAGCCTTGGGTTATTTTTGTTTTATATTGATATATGTTAGAATGGCCAACGTATGATCACTCTCCAATGAGATGAGTTCATATTTGATTATTTGAGCATGGTTCCAAGTGAATTGTGCTAGAACTGATAATAGTTCTGTAAATTAAAATTTAGTAACTGAATCCACCCTCCAACCTAGAGTATTAATGAAAGATTTTCCACACTCAGTTTCGCATTCTTTTAACAGAATTGGACAGTTCTTAAGTACGAAGGCAGTGGGACGTTTTGAACGTGACGACGTCACAGAGGAATATAAGTACGCAGAAGGTATGTGAAATTTTGTTTGTTTAGAATTTTCGCGAAAACTATAAAAGACAGCTACGAATAGCCGTTCCTAAAATTGAGCTGCTAGACTAGAGGGAAGATAGCCAGTCAAAAGCACCCACAGCCAACCCTTGTCTAACCAAGGAGTGGACGTTGACTGTCATTCTTATAGCTTTCTTATAGTCCCAAAGCGGAGCGCATTTCTGTGGCAATTTCTTATTACAATTATAATTATACAAGCATTCATTCTGACCGTGAGCTTATCTTTGGACCACTGGGGGGGGGGGGGCTTGTATTATACTAAATTAAGTGTTTTAGTTTGAATTTTTTTTTAAATCTCCAGCTTAAATCAGCTAAGTGGCTTAAACTTGCGAGGGTACATACCAGCAAACTAAGGTATTTTATTCTTTTTTATTCTTTTTTTTTCTAAATGTTATTTTTCTAAATACAAAGTATTTCTACGTAAAGGAAGTTTATACAACTCTAGCCTATCAATTAAGTAAAGCTTATTTTAGAATATATTTTATCTTTTCTTATTGGATCATTGCTTAAAAGCATATATTTAATATAATGCAACTTTTGTAATTTTGATAAATTATAAGCAATTACAATTATTTCGGAAGATTGTAAAAGCAGTTTTATGTTGAGCATTTATTATGCGTTGTAATAGGGCTAAAAACTCAAAAACTCAAGTTTCTCTGTTCATTACGAATTTATAGCAATGTAATGTGCCTTTTCGCCATTTTATGAACTTGTCATGATACGATTCCCATTTTTCTAGAAAATGTAGCAAATTAACTAAACGACGGGCTAAATGAATGGTCACCATGGATTACTGATTTGGTGATTCTAGTTTGTTTGTTTTTCTTGTTTCAATAAAATGAGACTTGAAAAAGAGAAGTAATGGAGAATACGGTCACAAATCTGGCAGAATGCTTTCTTTTACCAAATAGACTACTCGATAGGAGTTTTATGTTGTCATATTAGTTTTTATTTAGCCCAGCGTAACGATCTTCAATCAAGCTCTTTACACTATTCTAAGCAAGTTAACATTCACTATCTAAAACTGTTTTTTAAACTTGTACGTTTTAGATTTTCTACTGCTACCATTAGTGCATAAAAGTTCAATACATTACATGACGAATTAAGATGTCAAATGCTATCGGGTTTTTTAAGTTTGAAAACTAGGAGTAAGTCTTTAATTAAGTGTCAGTTCAGTTCAGTTTCGTGACCGCCATTTTGGTATTTTAATAGACCTTTCCGAACTATGGTTTTGACACTGTTGAATGTTTATGTAGATACGACATGAGGGTCGGAGTAAACCGCACTTGCTCCGACTTCTTTTAGGGCAATTTCCATGTAGGTACTTTCATTTACATTCGTGTGTTGTGCATAGCATCACTTAATTCGGTGTTGTAAAGTCTTATACTTAGCGAACAGATCCATATATGCGGACAA